TACGACAATCAGTCTACCACGCTGGCGGTCAACTGAGCTCCTTTCGTGCAAAAAGCGAGGGAAAAATTGCCCGCCATTGCTCAAAACAAACCCGTACAGAGGTTTCCCTTCCTTGCAATGTCAATCAGTTGCAAGACAGAGGCTTGGCTAGATGCATAGCGTTATTGTCAAAAAGATTGTTATTGTCATAGCGTTATGTCTGTCATTGTATTGTCATAGCGTTATTGTCAAAAAGATTGTTATTGTCATAGCGTTATTGTCAAAAAGATTGTTATTGTCATAGCGTTATTGTCAAAGATTGTTATTGTCATTATTGTCAAAAAGATTGTTATTGTCATGTTATTGTCAGGCTCTCAAAAGATTGTTATTGTCATAGCGTTATTGTCAAAAAGATTGTTATTGTCATAGCGTTATTGTCAAAAAGATTGTTATTGTCATAGCGTTATTGTCAAAAAGATTGTTATTGTCATAGCGATATTGTCAAAAGATTGTTATTGTCATATTGTCAAAAAAGATTGTTATTGTCATAATTGTCGTTTGTCAAAAAGATTGTTATTGTCAAAAAGATTGTTATTGTCATAGCGTTATTGTCAAAAAGATTGTTATTGTCATAGCGTTATTGTCAAAAAGATTGTTATTGTCATTATTGTCAAAAAGATTGTTATCATAGCGTTATTCGTCATAGCGTGTCAAAAGATTGTTATTGTCATAGCGTTATTGTCAAAAAGATTGTTATTGTCAAAAAAATTGTTATTGTCATGTTATTGTCAAAAAGATTGTTAATAGCGTTATTGTCAAAAAGAAATTATTGTCTTATTGTCATATATTGTCAAAAAGATTGTTTATTGTCATAGCGTATTGTCAAAATTGTCATTGTTATTGGTTAATAAAAAAAGTTATTGTCATAGCGTTATTGTCAAAAATATTGTTATTGTCATAGCGTTATTGTCAAAAAGATTGTTATTGTCATAGCGTGTCAAAAAGATTGTTATTGTCATAGCGTTATTGTCAAAAAATTGAAGCGTTATTGTCTTGTCATAGTTATTGTCAAAAGATTGTTATTGTCATAGCGGTTATTGTCATATTATTGTCATTGTCATAGCGTTATTGTCAAAAAGATTGTTATTGTCATAGCGGTCGTTAAAGCGTTATTGTCAAAAAGATGTTATTGTCATAGCGTTATTGTCAAAAAAAGATTGTATTGTCATAGCGTTATTGTCAAAAAGATTGTTATTGTCATAGCGTTATTGTCAAAAGATTGTTATTGTAGCGTTATTGTCAAAAAGATTGTTATTGTCATAGCGTTATTGTCAAAAAGATTGTTATTGTCATAGCGTTATTGTCAAAAAAATTGTTATTGTCAAAAAGATTGTTATTGTCCGTTATTGTCAAAAAATTGTTATTGTCATAGCGTTATTGTCAAAAAGATTGTCATAGCGTTATTGTCATTGTCATAGTGTATTGTTTATTGTCATAGCGTTATTGTCAAAAAATTGTTATTGTCATTAGTTAGTCCATTGTCATAGCGTTATTGTCAAAAAGATTGTTATTGTCATAGCGTTATTGTCAAAAAGATTGTTATTGTCATAGCGTTATTGTCAAAAAGATTGTTATTGTCATAGCGTTATTGTCAAAAAAGATGTTATTGTCATAGCGTTAGATTGTTATTGTCATATAGTCGTTACAAATATTGTCGTTATTGTCATATTGTCAAAAAGATTGTTATTGTCATATAGCTATTGATTGTAAAAATTGTCATGCGTTATTGTCAAAAAATATTGTCATAGCGTTATTGTCAAAAAGATTGTTATTGTCATAGCGTTATTGTCAAAAAGATTGTTATTGCCATAGCGTTATTGTCGAATCGCCAGCAACATGGCAACGATAGCTCCTATCTCAATAATAATATAATGATAATAATAATAATAATAATATATAATAATATAATGATAATATTAATAATATAATAATAATATAAAATAATATAATAATAATATAATAATAACAATAACAATAATAACATAATAATAATATAATAATAATATAATAATAACAATAACAATAATAATATAATAATAACAATAATAATAATAATATAATAATAATAATAATATAATAATATTAACAATAATTATATAATAAAGATATGATAATATAATAATAACAATAACATGGCAACAATAGCTCCTATAACAATAATAATATAATGATAATAATATAATAATAATATATAATGATATAATAATAACAATAGCAATAATAATATAATAATAACAATAACAATAATAATATAATAATAACAATAACATGGCAATAATAACATGGCAACAATAGCTAAAATAAATTGATAAAAAAAAACAAAAAACAAAAACAATAACTGGTCATGAGAACAAGGCTAAGGAATTTACTGCTGACTTCAAATTATATAAGAAGTATATTAGAAATGTTTTAATTTCATTCGGTAAACGTATTCGGTAAAAGTTTTATTTTTTTTTAACTCTTAATTGATCAAATAATGTCTGAGATTTCCAGAATTTTTTGAGATCCTTAAAATCACACGATTTAATTTACATGAACGATAAAAGCGCCAAAAATAACTGGACTTCGATAGATATATTTTTTTCGGAGATTTCGAAGCGGGACTCATATAATAATAATATAATAATATAATATAATGATATAATAATAATATAATAATATAATATAATATAATGATATAATAATAATATAATAATAATATAATAATAACAATAGCAATAATAATATAAGAATAACAATAACAATAATAATATAATACAATAATAATATAATAATAATAATAATAATATGATAATAATATAATAATATGATAATAACAATAACAATAATATAATATAATAATAATATAATAATTGTGTCCGATTGATTGATTATTATTATTATTGATTATTATTGATTGATTGATTGATTACTGCAGAGCAATACATGTGCAATGAGATGCGTTTACAATATTACTAGAAGTTAATAGCACGTGTAGGATCCGCTAATGGTCACGTGTCCGATTCTTGTAGCCATTTGTTGACTTCGTTTCCCCTGCAATGCGATGTTTTCCTAAGTCAAAGCATAATATGGATTGTAAAGAAAATAATATGGATTGTAGTCAAGAAAAAGCTAAAAAGAAGCGTCTGGAATAGATAAATGTGACATGGTGGGCTGTCTTGTGAACGTTTCTGCTTTAAGGAGAAAAGGTAGTAAATACGAACGTTTCCTCGTGGCGACAGACCTTCATAATACGAGAATTTCATTAAAAAAATAAATAAATAATTAGAAAGGTAAAAACTACTGCCAAGAAAGAGAATTTCATTAAGGTAAAACAATAATAATTAGAAAGGTAAAAACTACTGCCAAGAAAGAAAATTTCATTAAGGTAAAACAATAATAATTAGAAAGGTAAAAAACTACTGCCAAGAAAGAGAATTTCATTAAGGTAAAACAATAATAATTAGAAAGGTAAAAACTACTGCCAAGAAAAGAATTTCATTAAGGTAAAAAATAATAATAATTAGAAAGGTAAAAACTACTGCCAAGAAAGAGAATTTCATTAAGGTAAAAAATAATAATTAGAAAGGTAAAAACTACTGCCAAGAAAGAGAATTTCATTAAGGTAAAAAAAAATAATAATTAGAAAGGTAAAAACTACTGCCAAGAAAGAGAATTTCATTAAGGTAAAAAAATAATAATTAGAAAGGTAAAAACTACTTTCAAGAGAGAATTTCATTAAGGTAAAACAATAATAATTAGAAAGGTTAAAAACTACTGCCAAGAAAGAGAATTTCATTAAGGTAAAAAAAAATAAATAGAAAGGTAAAAACTACTGCCAAGAAAGAGAATTTCATTAAGGTAAAAAAATAATAATTAGAAAGGTAAAAACTACTGCCAAGAAAGAGAATTTCATTAAGGTAAAAAAATAATAATAATTAGAAAGGTAAAAACTACTGCCAAGAAAGAGAATTTCATTAAGGTAAAAAATAATAATTAGAAAGGTAAAAAACTACTGCCAAGAAAGAGAATTTCATTAAGGTCTAGAAAGGAAAAACTACTAATTTCATTAAGGTAAAAAATAATAATTAGAAAGGTAAAAACTACTGCCAAGAAAGAGAATTTCATTAAGGTAAAACAATAATAATTAGAAAGGTAAAAACTACTGCCTAGAATTTAATGCCTTATCGTGAACTGATAAATTATTAGTAATAAGTAATGCGTAATAAATAATAATAAGTAATAATAATTGGTAATAAATAATAATAAATAAATAATAAGTAATAAGTAATAAATTATTAGTAATAAGTAATAATTGTTCATGAAGTCTTCTGGATCCGGTTTGGTCCTTTTAAGACGTTGGATTTCAAATGATTTCCCGATTTTAGTGTTCCGGTGTTTTCCACAATGGCGCCCGACCGACTGGCCTAATATTTTTTTTTTTTTTTTTCATTGTAATACTTCAACCAAAGTTCGTCTGGCCTTGAGGCTCTTGACCCGATAGATATTTCATGTTTATTTTAAATTAGTTTGGGACGCAGTTTTACCCATTATGGTTCATATCCTTATCACTGATAAGAGAGATTAGGCTCGTCATCGGCAAACAATGTTTCGTCCGATTACATTGGTGAAACAAGAGCACGAACAAATCATATAAACAAGAGAATAATAAAGTAGACCAAAAAAAAAATCCATTGTGTAAACACGCTTATATTAACGAAGCTGCTTTGACCATTCATTTGGCGTCTTTTCAGAAAGGTCTCCGTGGTCGCGTGCCCCCCCCCCCCCCCCCCCCCCCCGTTTGCACGCCTCTGCCGTTACTCTTTCGCAGGATATTAAACCGAGAATTAAGAGAATTAAGAGAATTGATGTAGCTGTGTTGGAGGAAATTGTCCCGCCCGGAGAAAGTGGCGCTAGGCCCTGGGTCCCCGTCGTCCCGGAACTGATATGATATCAGCTGATAACGAGAAGGCTGTCGGTGCGGCTCCTTTCGCGCCAGACAGAGACGCGCCTCGAAGACCTACAGACGCTTCCCTCGCGGTTCCCGAAGCATTGGCGACGAGGACACGTTCGCGCGAGTGCTGCCGAGTGCTTCAGAGACACGCGAGTGAAGTGAAACCCTGAAAGTGAGAGGAAGAGACCTGGGAGGAGGATCGAGGAGAGAGAGAGAGAGGCGGCGCCGAGATGTGGCGGGGCTGGGGCCTGACGCTGGCGCTGGCGCTGGCGTTGAGCGGCGCCGCGCGGGCCACTGACGACGACGTCCTGCAGGAGCTCCAGCGGGAGAGAATGCGGCGCGTGCAGAACATCCGGGCGAGGGAGGGCAAGTACGGTGAGTCCTGCTGCAGGAGGCCCCTCGGCGCCGGGCGTGGGTGGCGCCGGCGGCCGAGGGGGAGTTCGGTTGTGCGGCGACGGCGTCTGAGGAGATCTTGGGCGGCGCTAGGTCTGATTTGGGGGTAAGGGCGAGGAAACCAAGGGCGTTAATACCAGAACGAGTCGTGCCTTTATCGCCCTTATCGACAGAGATAGAGACTAAAGATAGTAGTGATCTCTGAGTCATGTAGTATTTCCGTTACTGACCTGCTTTACCCCCGCGCGCGCACGCACGCACAACTCACACACACTTATACACACTTGCAGATACACAAATTACGTCCACACCCTGACAGTTATATAGATGTATATGTGAATATATGCATATTATATATATATATATATATATATATATATATATATATATATATATATATATATATAATATATATATACATATATATATATATATATATATATATATATATATATATATATATATATATATATATATATATACATAACATACATACATACATACATACATACATACATACATACATACATACATACATACATACACACACACACACACACACACACACACACACACACACACACACACACACACACACACACACACACACACACACACACACATATATATATATATATATATATATATATATATATATATATATATAGATAGATAGATAGATAGATAGATAGATAGATAGATAGATAGATGAAAACTAAGAATAAAGAAAAAACAGTAAACGGAACACAGAGATACGGGAATACACAACACTAAATAATCCGAGTTGGAGCGAGGTGCCTCTCACAAAACCTCTCGAATCGACATATTTCGTGGGGTGCCCTCGTGCTGCTCGTGGCCCTGCTCGTGGCCCTGCTCGTCTGCTCGTGGCCCTGCTCGTGGACGTGGCCCTGCTCGTGGCCCCGTGGCCCTGCTCGCGGTCCTGGCCAGCGTCTGTCAGTTTATTGAGACTGATTATTCTAATCCTTATCACAGGGTCTGGCGAGAGATAAAAATGTAGGTGATTTGTTTTACAAGAAGCAGGAAAACACACCTGCACATATTTGGCATAATTGGCTTAGCCGAAGGGATAGAGAGAGAGAAAAAAAGAAGAGAAAATTGGATGTTGGTGCTTTTTCGTGAAGCGATAAGACGGGTGACGCCCCCCCCCCCCCCCGAGGTCCGAAGGGTTTAGGAGAGAGGGAGAAGGAAAATGAGGCATAGGGTGGGAGGAGCAGGGGGGGAGGGGGTGCAATCGTTATCATGGCCTTATCAGTTCGCAGCTTGTGTTGCCTGGCCTCTCCGAGCGCCCCTTCCCCCCCCCCCCCTCGGCGCTGGCCGCTTCTCCCTCGGGGCAATAGAGACACAAACACAATGGCCCTCTTGGTTCTCCAGTATTCGCACCTACACGCAAAACACACGCACTTGCACACACCTTCACACACACAGACATTCACACACACTCATTCACACAAATTTACACATATTCACATACATACATACATTTGCACACACATTCACATACTCATTCACACACACACACACACATTCACATACTCATTCACACACACACACACATTCACATACACACACATTCATACACACACATACATTTGCACACACATTCACATACTCATTCACACACACACACACACACATTCACATACACACATACATTTGCACACACATTCACATACTCATTCACACACACACACACACACATTCACATACACACACATACATTTCCCCACACATTCACACACGCACATTTCACACACAAATACTCATTCACGCACACACACACACACACATTCACATACACACACATTCACACACACACACACACACATTCACATTCTCACACTCACACACACACACACACACACACACAAACAGACACGCACATACGCCACACACATTCACACACGCACACACACACACACAAACAGACACGAACCCACACACACCCAACTGAACCCGTTAGTATTTCCAGAATATATAGTCAACCAAACCTAATCTTGCCTTATACCGAATATTGACCCGATGGAAAGTACTAGAAAGTGTAAGTGTTTTGTCCTTCGATTACGATGAAAAATATGATAAGACTATTGCGATAGACAGTTGCATTTGTTTTTTTT